GAAAGTGCTTAAAAAAGACGGCCACAACTTAAAGACTCTCAAAAGTGTTTTTTTGCCCAGTCCAATTAAATTAGACTCTACACTTGAGGTCGAAAGCAAGACGACCACATCCAATTTAGTTTCACTATCAAAGATCAAACAAAACATACAATTGATAAATTTGAACTTGGCTTATAATTTGAGATCAAATGAACCCCAAATCACAAAACTAGATATGCTAGTAGTTCCATATATAACTACATGGGAGGATGATGGTATTGTGCTATCTATTTCTCTAATACCCAACTTTTTATATTTATGAGGAAAGAAAATTGTTTTCTTTTGGCCGTTGTGGACAAAATTGTGTAATGACTATTAATGACTGTATGGTCCAAAGTCGTTTTAATATCTATAATAATCTGAAATAAGGAGCTCGCATTGATGAGGTCCATGTGGTTCAAAAGTTTTTGTACAAACTGTTGTCATGTGCATACTACGTAGTAAAGTAGTAATATCGGGATACAATCCGGCTTGAGGTACACACTTTTCATACACACGCGTACAAACGTGTGTCTGTGTAGGTTTTTTTGTCGTATCTAGAAAAATATTACATTATTTTTTTGAAAATAAATCGTCTATATTGATATCATTAGAATCAGGATGATTACATCCAGGGGCGGAGCCCGGATACCGGGGTGGTACAAAGAATATTTTTGAAAAAATTTTACACAAAATTTTTTACACTAAAAATATAGACATTTTTAAAATTTGGGCTGGGCCAGGGCTGGCTCTCCACTAGCTACGCCCCTGGTTACATCAATCTCAAAGTGATCAATACTGACTCCAACATTCATCTTCCTACTACTACTATTAGCCATACGATTGGACATAGAGACGTTTGATCGGTTTGAATTTGCAAGTATACAAGTGCCGATATAGCAATAAAATACCGGTAAATACCGGGTCGATCCACTGGGAAATGGTTGATATTATAAAGTTGAATATTGAATGCAAAAGAATATAATTGGTATAATTTTTCAGGAACTTTGTTCTTTGAGATTGATTTAAACAAGAATGAGAATTACTAAGGCAATCGAGATTCACCTAAATGCTTTAATAGTTATTTAATAATAGTTCTTCCCCAATAATTATGAATACGATGTCGCTAATATATTCTCAACTCCGGTTAAGGCAGCGAGAGCATGGTTTTCGTTACGTGTAAGTCCTGTTACGGCTGACATTCATCTACCAAAAAACCCGTTGAATATCAAGACATCACACCCGTATCATATAAGACCGAATATATTTCTATTCTCGGTACTATATATGTTTATCCTTTAATGTTCATAGTTTAGACTTCAACGTTAATTGCAAGCATAAACTAAATTTAACATACATCTATGTTGTACACTATAGTCATAAACAATCAAAATATAAAGGATAAATCACAATTTATTGGTTTAGAACTTTTGTGAAACACCTAGTGTGCATAGATGTTCATCCCTAGCCTTAACTAAGAAATTAGCCTCTAATGCTCATCATATTAATCGCAATACAATATTGAAATGTAATGGAACATGAAATTACAAATGAAATAATACCTAAACACCAATGATTTCGGAGGTTGAAGTTTCCTCCTCATGAACTTGAAGAAAATACCAAGAACAAAAATATAAAAGCTAGGAATTAATCTATGGAATGAAATGTTGATGTTTGATGAATTGAGGGCTTTATATAGGCTAAAGAATGACATCTTTTAGTCTATTGGAGCCCAACAATCAGGTACATAGCAATATTTGATCAAAAATGAGGAAGATGACTTGTAAATCATATAACTACTATATATGTTGTCAATAAAAGATTTATTATGATGTGTATGTTAATACATGTCACATAAAAAATTATATTTGTAGTTTCATTAGTTTCCAACTGAAACTCCGTTAATTTTTTTATGATAGTTCAGTCATTTGAAACTAGCGTATCATTTGCAAGTAATCTTTCCTCGAATTTGAGCTACAGTGAGCCCAACTATCATTATTATTCATTACAATATTAATATATCCTTCATCTCTTGATGAGGACTACTAACTTTTTAAGATGAATTTTTTTTGGTCACTTTATTTCACTTCCTTACTTGTTTATAAATTTCTTATTGGGCATTCATCACACGTACTGCGTATGCTGCTAGAATCCTTATAAGTTAAAGTTATTGTATTTATTAGAGAAAATTGCTGGATTAATCTCAATTTTTTGTTGTCCAGTTTTTATCCCATATTTTTATTTGCAGATTTTATCCTGTAACTAATACTATCTAAATTTATTCACATTAGAGACCATTCCACCCGAAAGTACACCTAGCTAATGATTAACAACTTCTAGTTATTGTTTTTATCGAAGATTGTATCTTTCGATGTAGAAGACCTCAGTCAGTATGAACAAATTTATTAGTATATGTATCAAATTTAAAAGTGTTTAAAATTATAAAATTGATAATTACGAATACAACTAAAAGTTAACACCACACGTGCTGAATTTATATGTATAAGCTAGACTATAAGGTATTACTTAGAATTTATTAACACTACTAATATTATTGTTAGTGAATAATTGGAGTATTTTAATATTTTATATATTAAGTAGCTTGTTCACAATTATCACTGCCCTTGTCATGTTTCCTAATTATTAAGACTCTCAAAGTGGTTTTTTGCCAATTTTCTCTATCAAAGTGCCCTAATTAGATACTACACTTGAGGTCGAATGCAAGATCCAATTTTCTCTATCAAAGATAAAAAAAAATATACAACTCATAAATTTAAACTTGGCTTATATATAATCTGAGATCAAGTGATCTTTTTTTTTTGAAAATGAGATCAAGTGACCTGAAAACCCAAATCATAAAACTAGATATGCTAGTAGTTCCATAACTACACGGGAGGATGAGGGTGTTGTACTCTCTACGTACTTCTCTAGTACCCAAATTTTTATATTTAAAGGGTGAGAAAATTGTTTTCTTTTGGACGTTGTGGACAAAATTGTGTCATGACTAAGACCATTTGTAGTGGTCAAGAGTCCAAATTGTCAAATTTGGACTCCATCCATATGAAAATCGTGTTTAGACTCCGTTAATACTGTTTTTCTCTGCATTCGTGCACCGTCAATAAAATACACTCTGCATATTTTTACATATCAAATTAGTAAAAAATTATTATAAATAATGTTTTACTTTTAATTTTATCCCTGAATAGTTATGAAATAAAAATACACATTTTGATGTAAAAACAAGTACGTAGTGATTTTTATTAAATTTTTTTAACGTTTTTCGGTTAACAAAATGAATTAGTTTAAGTAAAGTTCGATTATGAAATATTAAATTATTTGTGAAGGCTTCATGAATTAAAAATTTGTGTTTTTTAGCTCAAGAAAACTCCAACAATTAAAACTAAAAAAAACAAATTCATTTTATATATCACATATGGATGTCATATAAAAGATCATAAAAATTCATGAATTTTGATATACTTTTTGAAAATTTTGGAGAACAAATAAAAAAGTTATAAGAGTTAAAACAATTTGGGATTATGATGACATCTGCGTGAGGTCATTATGATGTCAACTGAACCATAGCAACGCCTTGGAGCCGACCGCCACTTTCTTTTCTTTTCTTTTTCAATTTTTTTTGCCCTCTCAATACAACCCTCTATTTTTACACTCATCCATTCCCCTTCCCACTTTTACTCTCCCTTCTAATCCACCACTACACCTAATTAGGAGTCTAAAAGTTTCATTTTTAATCTTTTGACTCCTGATCCTTAGAGCACCTCCAACGTTACAATGTGAACGATGCAGTGCACATGTGGCATGAGAGAGATAGACATAAAAGATTAATTTTATGACATTTCTCTCTCCGTCTTTCCACAGCCCTATGTGTTTTTGGTAAGTTTTTCTCTGCATTGTCAATCACAATGTCTACATCTAGACATTGTGCTTGACATTGTAAAGAAAAACTTACAAAAAGGATATAAGATCCTTCAAATAAGAAGAGAGATATTTTATTTATCATTTTTTGATTGGCTATTCTTCAGCCCACGTATGCACTGTTAATGTTTTAGCATTAAAAATGCTCTTAACCACTACAGATGGTCTAATCAATGACTGTATGGTCCAAAGTCTTTTTGATATACGGAGTATACGATAGTATAATCTGAAATAAGGAGCTCGCATTGATGAGGTCCTGTGGTTGAAAAGTTTTTGTACAAACTTTTGTCACTACAAAAAAACACGGAGTTAGTCACGGATTTAGTCACGGACCGTAGTATAAAAAATCCGTGACTAACTCCGCTAGTCACGGACTTTGTCCGTGACTAACTCCGTGACTGTTTGGGCGTGACTAATTCTAGTCACGGTCATTTTATCCGTGACTTAGCGTAGTCACAGCTTAGTCACGGACCGTTTCCGTGACTAACTTGTCACCGGAATAACCACACCGGCGACTTAGTCACGGGCCTTTTCCGTGACTAATATAGTCACGGACAAATCCGTGACTAAACTTTCAAATTTAAAAAAATGAACCGCCAAATGTTACGGTTTAAATTTTCAAATTTCAAATTTTAGTCACGGACTTGATCCGTGACTACTTTTTTATTTTTAAAAAAAAATTAAATTTGAAATTTTATATAACTTTTTTAAAATCGGTCTAGAATTTAGTCACGGCTCGGATCCGTGACTAAAGTTTTTTTTTTTAAAAAAAAAGTTTTTTTGTTTTATAAAAAAATAAATTTTTTTTAATTATTCTTTAGAAAAGTTTATTTTAAAAAATATTTGTAGAATAAAAGTAATAAACGACTACTAGAACACACATTTCATAACCAAACAGACTGAAATAAAAGTAATAATAAGCACAATAGAATTATAGTAAATAAACAATGTTCAAATAAAAATGTATATCATTTACAAGCTCCTCCGGTTACCATTATGATAATATCTAGAATCATCATATAGGTAATCTTCTTCGGTCTCATCTTCTCGGTTGTCTCCAGCTTGGCCTTCTCGATTGCCACCGCGACTGCCTCCTCCGCGACTGCCACCTTCGCGACTGCCACCTGCTTGGCTGCCTCCAGATGTTTGAAACAGGTTGTGAAAATTGATATCCTGAATAGAACCAAATGAAGGCAACCCGGTAGCAGAGTTGGTACGGAAATAACCGCCCATGTGCGGAACTTGAGGTGTCTGCTCGGGGTGCAGTACATACGGCTGAGGCTGAGGCTGATTCCGAATTCCGGCGCTGAGGATCCGTTCCATCTCTTCCAGCCGGGCCCTTGTTTCTTCATCTTTTTTGCGTTGCTCCTCCAAGGCGCGCTGCTGCTCAGCCAAGGCCCGCTGCTGCTCCTCCATCTCCCGCTGCATTTGAGCGATACGCGGATCCTCTCCGCGCCTTGATCGGGAAGATGAAGCACCGCTGCGGTCGTACAAGATCCGTTGCCCCTCAGCCCCCATGCACGGGACCCGGCCCTTGTACACCCCAACTGCCTCAAAGATGGCATCATCCTCCACATCAGAATCAATCTCATCCTCCTGAGTCAAGCCTAATTCTGCATTCCATACAATACCGCATCTTTATCATACATCCAACTTCTATTTTGTTTATACATTATGCCTGAATATTATAATAAAAAAGTATACACGTTCAAATACTAACAATAATACTAACAAATTTTAAGTGAGTTATTTCACTAAATAATCAACTAACTAATTTTCACTAAATTAAATGAAATGCACACAATTCACAACAATAATTCACAAAATATAAGTAATTACCTAATACTTAAATTTAACTAATATTACAAAAAATTTAAGTAATTTATTAACACTACATTTAAATTAAACATACGTTTAACTAAATTTAACTAATTCATTTAGTTAAATTTAACTAAATTTAACTAGTTCATTCCGTCCTCTTTTAATGCATCACTACGTTTAAACCCACGTTTAGCTAACTAATATAACATAATTAACACATCACTAGCTACGTTTAAACCTACGTTTAGCTAACGAATTTTAATTAAATTATTTTTGTAAACCTACATTTAAACCTACACTAAATTATTACGTTAATGACATTTAATGTTATTAGTACTACACAATTAACAATTCCAATTCACTAAATTAAATAATATGACCAAATTAAACCCAATAATTTGAACATGTATATAAGGTCATTTCAATTAATAAATAATACACAATTACAATAACAATTCACAATACACTTAATTAACACATTACTAACGTACGTTTAACTAACTAATTTCACTTAACATAAAGTTTAACTAACTACGTTTAAAACTACGTTTATCTAACTAATTTTAATTAAATTATTTTATAAACCTAACAGTTTAACTAATTTTATGACATTACTACGCTTACAGTTGAATATGTTGTTAATTAATTAACAACATCACTAATTTAATAATTTTAATAATTTAAATTGAACCAGCTAATTCTAAATAAAAATAATAATTCAAATAACATACCTTAACTGCATAAATGGGGAAAATGATAGAAGACAGACTACATCCTTTGATCTTTCAAACAGATACTGTATATACTGGGAATGAATTCGTGTGGTTCTGTTGAATGAATGAGGTGCTCCTGCATATATAAAAAATGTAGTCACGGACTTAGTCACGGATTTGTCCGTCACTAAGCAAAACCGTGTCCATTACGCGTCCGATCCGTGTTAATGACATGTAAATGACGTGTTAATCAAAGTAGTCACGGACATAGTCACGGCCATGTCCGTGACTAAATTTATCCGTACATAATACCGTTGAGGGAGGATTGATTTATGGAGATGAAAAATTATTTTTTAAATTTAGTCACGGCTGTAGTCACGGTTGTGGCCGTGACTATGTCGCCGGAGTAAAACAAGCCAGGTCGGAAAAACAAACGGGCAATCGGAGGATGTTAGTCACGGACAAATTTCCGTGACTACGCGTAGTCACGGCTGTAGTCACGGTCAAATCCGTGACTAATTTTTTTTTTGAATTTTCGTGAATAATCCGTGACTAGTCCGTGACTAGGCTAGTCACGGACAAAATCCGTGACTACGGTCCGTGACTAAACGAGTGTTTTTTTGTAGTGTGTCATGTGTAATACGGAGTAGTAAATTAGTAATACCGACCGTCATCCATGTAGAGCCGTCAAAATGGGCCAAAATCCGTGCGCCGATCCTTTAAACCCATTTATTGGTGGGTTAGAGTTGAGAATTGCTGACCCATTTAGTTCACAGGTTTCGCGGGTCAACCCAACCCACGCGGGTTTAAGTGGGTTGGCCCGCGGGCCAAAATACAAAAATATAGTTTTGAATTTTATTATCTAAAATATTATTTTTTTGCTACCAACATTATTATAATTACAATTAAAATAGTATTATTCTTTTATTTTTATAATAAATATTCAAATAAAATGTTGAAACATATATTTTTTGTGAAGTTCGATACAATATTTAACAATTACTACGTAGTAGTCATTATTTGCAAATAATTAATCAAAAAATTTATGTAAATCTTTATTTTTATATAATGAGTATTTTTGTCGCATAGCCTATTATAGTTTTCAAATTCTCGTATAACTAGTATTTAATATTTTTAATTAAACTTAACAAGTATTGAATTTTTAGTATTTTGATTTCTTATATTTCCTTTGTTACTACATGCTAATATAAATATATACTTCCGGGTAATTTTTTTTTTTAAAAAATCGTTTTATAGTTTTTACATTGGCCCGCGGGCCAACCCGTTTAACCCACGGGTTAGGTGAGTTGGGTTAGGGTTGTTGAAATCCTGACCCGTCATTAAACGGGTTGGCCCGACCCAACCCATATAAAGCATAACCCGTTATGGGTTGGGTCGGGTTGGCCCGTTTGACAGCTCTACATCCATGTCGTATCCATTTGTGATAGGTGACAAACTTACAATAGAATTCAGTCACATGTTCCATAAATAACATACTACGTATTGCGTTATCAATATTGTTTGTTTAGACTTAGTTTAAGTGATAAATGTCTAAATGTGTATAAAAAGAAGATCAATTTAGGTTTCGTATATACAAAGATGTAATTTTAGATAAAATTAGAGAAAAATACATTCGTAGAAGTTAAAGATAATAAAATTTAGTGTTTTTTTATCCTTGTACATACTCATTTAATAGGATTACATAAATCCTAGGAAGCAAACACTCTTAATTCTATTTTGGAATATTTACGGTATTTAATTCCTATTTTAAGCAATTTTCTGTAAAATGTTATATTTTTATATATGTAGGGATTAGATTGGGGTTGAGGGAGGCAGGTGTGAGGTGCCCTCACTGCCCCCGCATTGGATACGCCTCCGTCCCATTAGACTTTTGTCATGTAACTTTCTTTTTTATTTGTCACAAAAACTCTGTAACTTTTCTTTTAAAATAATGAATTTGTGATTCGACTCATTTATCTCTTCTTTGAACATATTTCAATATTTTTACTTTTCTGATCACAATGCAAAGTTGACAAGGTCTTACAAGGATGACGGTAACGCCTTTTATATAATTTTTAAATTTTGTTTCACGATGTATGTATTTTGATGCCACAGCCCACATGGAGTGTGCAAATGGATTATAGAATGGGGTAGAGATTTGCAGTTCACTTTCGGACCAAGCTTCCAGCAGGAAAGCCAAAATCAATACCTATCTCCATCCATTACCTCATTTTGCACTGCCCTTAATCATGCATGTGTCACAACCTCACAATTCACAAATGGTCTCTTAGCACATGGTATGGGACACCCAGACGTATTATTAAATTGGATTTGAAGTTCCCTTATTTGGAAGGCCTTTGATTTTTGTTATACCAAAAGAGTATTATCATAACTTGTGGTTCATTTCTTTTGCCATTTTGTTCCAAAACCAATTTTAACTTTTTCGGTGAAACATTTCTTTGATTGGTACGCGTTTACTTCTTTACGGACAAGTTTTCATTGAATAGAGTTTATATGAGATTATAAGAGGACCCCTTTTGTATTTATCAAAAAAAAAAAAGAGGACCCCTTTTGTTGGAGTGGATATTTCTTGTGAGAATTACGAATGATTGTATTTTTTGTGCTGTCAAAAAACTTTCAACCACTTTTTTGTTTGATATTTTATCGTTGACATAAGTTGACCGAAATTCAAAAAGTGTAAAAACGCATCAAAATGAGTAAAAATAACGGTTCGTGATGAGCATAGAAAAGATTAATTTTTTGAGCCTCGCCACATACTCCCTCCGTCCCGAGCCTCGCCACATACTCCCTCCGTCCCATTAGAAGGTTCTCGTCCACTATTCATATAGTCAACTTAAATCATTTTTAATCTTTTGTTTTATATATCAATTTTTTTTTATCAAATTCACATTTTCTTATCAGACTTTGTAGCGGTTTTAATGTAGTTTCTGAATATGTAAATTTTATTTACTAAAAATAATCAGAGTGTGAACACTGATTAAGTTGTTTTATCGTCAGTCAAGTATCGTAAACCGTAACGGGAACCTTCTAGCGGGACGGAGGGAGTACATTTTTACACTGTCTGTGAAGGCTATTTTTTTGTTTGTAAAAACACTGTGCACAGACAATTAAAAACGTGTATGTCTGTATTTCGTGTACAAAAGGTTTTTTCCTTTCTTTTTGAGTGGATCTCATCCCTACAAATCAACCTCACAATGTATGTGCTACCATCTTCTCATTTCTCATTCTCTTTCATACGGGAAATTTCACAATATATATCATTTTATTCTTTTTTAATTGCAACATTTTTATTTCATGTTCAAGAATGAAAGGATATTTTTTTGGGATTGTTTTTCGTCCCAGACCAGATCAGATTAGACTTAAACAGATTAGATCAGACCGGGTCAGACTTGAACAATTATAAAATACACAAAGACCAGACATTTACCAGACCAAACCAGTTTAGACTAGATCAGACTAGACCAGACCAGCAAATTTTAGTCCAAAATAAAACATCTTAACTTTCACCAATAATATACAAAGTATATAAGTAGTACTGGTACATTATGGATGTGTTTGGAAGATGACGTTTCAGCTCAAAAATGGCGGTTTGACTCCTTTTAATGTTTTCGATAAGTGAAAACATTGTTTGGTAAATAGTTGTTCGACTCTAGAGTTTTTGAACGAAACCGCTGAACATGGAAATACTGAAAATAGAATAGTTTTGGATTCGCGTTTTGAAATATGACGTTTTCTACTAATTGTTATGGACAAACAGCTAAATTACCAAACATTTTCTATCCATCCGCTAACTTATTCTTCTACCTAGTAATTGCCAACTGCTAAATCTCAAACACAACCTCAAATTTGGTTGTGCATGTATATCTACCTCCGTTTCAATAGAATACAATTATTTCCGTTTCAACACGCTAATAATAAAACAAATAAGTAATTATTGAACACACATTCCCTGAGAGCAAAAGTAATGTATCTAATGATAACGGACATAAGTTCATCGAAAAATACAGTCTCAATCAATCCCTCGAGATCCAACGGTAGAAAGTATGTTCAGCTTTTACCTATATCCAAAAAATTAATTTTAAACAACATTCTGAATCGTTAAAAAGCTGGGAGCTTTCTTCTGTAAAAAGAGAATGACTGCGACCTTTCAGTAGCTTGGAAAAGTCAGACGAATATCTCCCGCGGCACCAACCGAAACGGAGCTCAACCTCCGCCAACGGCCGCCGTGCTACGCCACTAGCTTCCCGTTCCCGTCACATGTCAGTAAATGCTCCGTACGTAGATAGATATACCCCACCACCTCCTCCGCCACATATATATTCGTACACTCTTGTACTTTTATTCCTTTTTGCTCTAGAGAGAGAAACATTCTGTGAGAGAAACCATCCCTCGTAAACGGAAAGGAACGTTTTCACGGGTATTTTCTCTCCCCTTTTACCGAGAGAGAGAGAGAGAGAGAGGATCCGAAGCAAGGTTAGCTTCTCGAGAGAGAGAGGAGAGAGAGAGAGGGAGAGGGCGTTTATATTGATCAGCTCTATTGTGTGAATGTGAATGAGGAGGCTTCTCTGTAAGGTAGACCGCCGCGAAGAACTGAAATACATTGATTATTGCCGATTTTCGGATCATGTAGAATTGCAGAATGAAATGCCTGGATGTTTATTTAATGCTATTTAAGTATCCCCTGTTTACTGTTTTTGTGGAGTTTTTTACTACCGTTTCTTCATTATGAACCTGGAAGGTCTCCTGCGAGATCTGAGATTTGTGTCGGCGTTTATTTTTTAATAATTGCAGGTATTGTGTTAATGTATATCTATGTGACCGAGCATTGAATTTGTAGCAGAATGGCAGGTAATTTCAGAAGGATTGAATGAAGTTAGTTGAATCAGTTCCGGATCTGCGCTCATTTATGTTTTTTGCAGAGATTGTTTTAGCTCCGGAAGAGGATAGGGACAAAAGGTCCGATTTTGAGGTCACTGAGGACGAGAAAAGAAGAACGAGGATCAGATCTTTGAAGAAGAAGGCGATGAGTGCTTCCACTAAACTTACGCACACTCTCAGAAAACGCAGCAAGCGCGTCGCTCATTGTCGATTCGCATCCATTTCAACGGAAGATTTTCGGGATGAGCAGGAAGAGGAGGCGGTTAATACATTTCGTAGGGTCTTGATTGAAAAGGATCTCCTCCCCCCTCGCCATGATGACTATCATACCATGCTCAGGTATGTATATTAATTCTCTGTATTAATGTCACCTGAGTTATCACTTGTGCAATTAATGGACGTCTTTTCAGATGCTTAAACACCTCTAATGTGATGATACCTACTTTATTTCACTGGTTCTTTAATATTCTCTATATACACCTTAACTGGATCACTTTTGTCAGTAGAAATGGGAGCTCCAATGCCCTTTTTATTTCTGGGCTTACAGAATTAAAGGAGAGCTACTGATGCTTCCCGATTAATTAACTCCCACTCCGAGCTCTTTGAAGGAAGTACAAAATGCATTCATTACTACAATTTTTAAAAATCTTTTAATCTTTGTAATAAAGTGGCATCATTAATGCTACACACCCGAAGATGTGCAGCATGATTTTCATAAATTGACTTAATAGGTTGAACTGCTTGGTTCATACCTGTGTTTGAGTGTACAAGGTTTAACTTTTGCAAATGAAAATACTAGTATTATGGGTTGATTTGTACCTCGTAACCCCTCATATTGTTCTAAATAAGTCAACATGTTTAAATTCAAAATATAAAAGACACATAAATCATGCATCCGCTGTATCAAAGGACAAATGAATCATTACCAGACAGGCAACACCTATCCAACAATATCTATATGGAAACCAGAAAGAGAAAGTTTACTGGTCTTTGGGGCAATACCATGATAAAACTCTCTTACAATTGATCTATGACTGGCAGCTCAAGCTAGGGAATTTCTATATTGTTGAGCGAATATGGTGAGTACGTAATGTATCCAAGTCTTACCTTTACCTTGTAGCCGTTGTAGGCTTCTTGCGTCCCTCAACCACTATCAAGTTAGAAATAATATCAGATCACATTCCCAAGTTCTTTGGGAACAAGATCACTCATCACTGGTCCGTTCTATAGCTCGGGTTCATCATCATCATCGTCATCATCATCACCCCAGTGCCGCAAAGGCTCCCACCTACGGTGGGGTAGGGGGGGTCGGATGTACGCAGTGTTACCACTATACTAAAGCATAGTGATGACCCATAGTGAAATTCGCGTTGACAATTGCATGGACGGAATGTTGCTTCATAACAAAGAAGCGCAAACAGTTTAGTGAGCCATTTTGCTTTATTCCATCATATTCCCAAGCCAAAAACTAGTGAGTCTTTGGCTCCATTGCAATTGATGGAAATTTCTATACCCCAGTTTAATTAATAAAATAATTGACCTGGGGTATTACATACTCCCCCAACATCTTGAGTTGCTCAGTAACTGCATTTATGTTGTTCTTCTGAGCCCTTATTTAGGTTATAAATCCACTGCATGAACATTGTTACAGATTTTTAAAAGCAAGGAAGTTTGATCTTGACAAGACAATCCAAATGTGGGCTGAAATGCTCAACTGGAGAAAAGAGAATGGAGTGGATACTATTTTACAGGTATCCATCCTGCATCAACATGTGCTCAGTCCTGAACTATTCCTCAAATGATTGTTGTTTGTGGTCAGTTTAATTGAATTATTTATGCATTTCTGATAAAAGATTTTCATTTCAATCAATGGAATTGGAATTCAAGATCTTCATTTCAATCAAAGGAAATTGCATTCAATATTTTATCTAATTATCTAATTGCTGCTTGTTTTAATGATTATGTTTTCACAAAGCATGTGTAGATGCAGATAATGTTACAATTGGTCAATAACCTTCTGATTAATGCTTTGAAAACAAAATGTTCTAGGATTTTAACTACGACGAATTCCAAGAAGTTCAGCGTTACTACCCTCATGGTTACCATGGCGTAGATAAAGGGGGACGGCCTGTTTATATTGAAAGACTTGGCAAAGTTGATCCGAGTAGGCTTATGAGTGTCACTACAGTAGACCGGTTCTTGAAGTATCATATTCAAGGGTTTGAAAAGACCTTCTCTCAAAAGTTTCCAGCATGTTCAATTGCAGCAAAGAGGCATATAGATTCTTCAACCACAATCCTTGATGTCCATGGGATGGTATGTCTTGTATTTGTTGCATCAAAGTTGTATTTCGTATTTGTTTTTTATTCTTTTTACAACTTTTTCTTCTTCTGTAAATATTCAGAACTGGAGAAGTTTTGGCAAGCTTGCACATGATCTAGTCATGCGCATACAAAAAATAGACGGTGACAACTATCCCGAGGTGCTTCTATTATCATTGTGTGGAATAATAGTAATTTGTAGTAATTTGTAGCGGTTGTTTTACCCTCCCATTTCTCTTTATTCTAGCTGTTAATTTGGCTCAATTTGTGCAGACATTGCACCAGATGTTCATTGTTAATGCTGGAAGTGGATTTAGACTGATATGGAACACAGTAAAAGGCTTTCTTGATCCACGGACGACGGCAAAGATACATGTAAAATAATATTTAGCGACATGGTTTTGTGCCTAGGGAACACACTAAACAGTGAACTAACATGAGGTTTAATGCATTCACAGGTCTTAGGAAGCAAATTCCAGAGCAAATTACTGGAAATCATAGACCCTAAGTGAGTAGTAGTTTTCTGAGATTATAAAAAATCATATTAGCAGTTTGGTGCTTTATCCTTAAAGTAGTAGTTTTTAGGTTTTTTCTTTTCTAATTTATGTGTATTGAGCAGCCAATTGCCAGATTTTCTAGGAGGAAACTGTGTGTGCCCAAATGAGGGCGGGTGTATGAGATCTGATAAAGGACCTTGGGATGATCCAGAGTTGATGAAGGTATGTTGACTACCATCCAAACTAGGCTTTGATATATTTACTTGATTAACGCACTTGATGATGATATTTTGCTTTCTATCCTTGCAGTTGGTTTCTGCTTTACATGGGGAAACCACTTATAGAAAGCTTGGAAGTTTTTCTGACAGTGAAGATATAGAAATCAAGCCACTTTCTTTATCTGTAAGAAACTTTGCCAGTGCTTGCTTATTAATATATCACATGCCAATTACCTGAGACAGCTTCTTTGAATAGTTACCAAATAGAGAGACTGGTTATGCTGAACCAGGGGCAGATGTGGGGTTTTACGCTTACAGTGGCAAGAAACCAATTCAATTTTGGACTAATGAAGTAAGTTTATGCCTCATGATCTGTATAACTCTATTACCTGTTAAACATATGTCTCATGATCTGTATAGCATTTCACACACATTGCTAGCAGTGGTATATTCTGTCTATGGTTGTTATTTAGCGGTTAGAAGCTATTTTTGGTGCTATTATGATAAAAAAGGGTAATGTTGTTTGCACATAGTATCACCTTTTCTCCCTCTCTATCTTTCTCTCCCTCTCTCCATCTGTGTGCACAAGTGTAAAGAAAAATTACCTCTTACTCCAAATCAGATGTTTATTTCTTCATTTAGTAATCATGCTCAATACTTCAATCCCCAGGAAACAGAAAGGTGTCCTGATTCTCTTAGCAAGATAGATGAACAACCAGATAGTGGGAGTATAGTTGAAAATTATAACTCGTCAAGTAAGTAATATGATTGGTTCTTGTACGGATGTTACATATGATTACCCATTATTGTAGTAGTTCAACTTCTTTTGAGTTTTATTTGGGGATATATATAAAAGTAGGCTAAGTAGTTGTGTGGGCCAAAGGGGTCTAAGCAGACTGGTGGTCATCAGTCCAAGAAAAGCACCTACATTGGAATATTGGATGACTTGGGAGCAATTTTATTTATTTTAATACTTCTCTCTTAGTTCTACTTTAGCACCTCTCTTTTTATTAAGACTTGTCACACATGCCAGCAAAAAAACAAGTGGGTGAACTTAAAGCAGTGGCTGGCCGGCTTTAACCATATCCAGCCTTGCTGCACATTTGAGCTGATACACACACACAGAAAAGATCCTGTCCAGCCCCCCTCCTGTCCGAACTGCCGTCCGAACTCCGCCGTTTGGGGCAGTTCCCGGTGGAATTTTTTGATGAAAATTTTTCAGCATGTTTCTCATCAAGTCTAGTTTGTTCATACCAAATTTCAGTTCCAAATTCGATCGGGAAGACATTCAAATCATTTTTTGAAGTTGACTGCGTTTTTATATGTATATTTTGGCGCAGTCAACTTTACAAAATGATTTGAATGCCTTCCCTATCGAATTTTGAGTTGAAATTTGGTATAGATAAACTAGACTTGATGAGGAACATGCTCAAAAAATTTCATCAAAAAATTCTACCGGGAATCGCCCCAAACAGTGGAGTTCGGACGGCGCCTCCTGTCCCTCCGGCTGGACCTGAGCATTACTCTCTTTCTCTCTCTCTCTCTCTCTCTATATATATATATATATATATATATATATATAGATATATAAAAGGTAGTGTTCTCCTAAGATAATAATTTTAGGCCTCTTTCATTTGAGGTACTTCCAGATCGAATTTTTTGATGAAATTTTGTGATCATGTTCTCAATGAAGGAGGACACACTATGTCTACCAAATTTTAGTTTAAAATTCAATCGAGAAGTCAGATAAATAAATTATTGAAAATTGTGCAGTTTTATATGCATATAAAAAGCAGTTTTTTTCAATAATTTATTGAACTGACTTCTCGTTTGAATTTTAATCTGAAATTTGGTGGAGATAATCTATACTTCATGGAGAACATGTTCAAAAAAATTTATAAAAATATTCGACCTGGAAGCACCTCAAATGAAAGAGACCTAAAGCTTGTAAGTTTTAGGCCTTCCTTAGGAAAACATTCTCCTATATATATATATATATGGAAAATTAGTCATCATGGTGGTTGTTAATCTTCCATTAAAATTCAAGCATCACATTTCACCCCATTGCCCTGCCCCCCCAATCATTGCTACTTCCTTCACAGGAGTTCTTTGAGGAAATATTCTGTTTACATGGACTGCCATAATCCATTATTTCAGTCCACATGGACTGTCACGGTTTTATAAAACGGCAGTTATTGTGAACTGGATGGAGTTGTTAAGGAAACAAACAAAAATGCTATTATCCGAAAACAAGAAGTTTATTTTACATCATTGGTTAAGCAGCAAATCTTTCTTGTTTACTTCTTCTGGAACAGGTTCTACATATGGAACTTCACGAGTTGAAAGGAAATCGATGTTTAGATTTTTTATCGACATCCTAATTAAGTTACTAGGATGGATATACATTTCTCAGCATCGAATTAGTGGAGTATGTGTAAAGAAAAAATTAGACAGGTCAAATACAGATCATGGGCAAAACTCAACCTCCCCTCCAAAAGGGGACCTCCTTCATCCCTGTTGCCAGAGGCTGCAAAATTTGGAAAAGGCAGTTTCTGAGCTGTTAAAAAAACCCACGGAGATTCCTCCTGAGAAGAACCATATGCTGCTAGATTCATTGGACCGCATCAAGTCAATTGAATATGATTTGCAGAAGACAAAGAAAGTAAGCAAAGAAACACACCCATCATTGTGATTTATTTCTCTTTGAAATGTATTAATGTATTTATGGTTTTAAGTTAACCTTCCATGTTCTAGGCATTGTTTGCAACAGCATCACAACAAGTAGAGCTGGCTGAGTCCCTAGAATTATTGAAGGACGAGAGTTTCAATAAAGTAATTCCTTTTCCTGAAATTTCATTTTATGAGTATCATTTATTATTTTTAAAACTTTCATATTCAGGAGTATAATATAGATACATCTGCCACTTATGTTGATGCCAACAAACAGGGATCACTGTCTTGCTGGCTGCGAACAAAGTCGTCTTCTCCTCGCATTTGACCCTGAGGATCAACTTTATGTTAGTGTGTGGTTTCATCTTTTTAAATCTCATCGCAAACTAGCTACCCAAATTCAGTTTATGCAAGAGATTGCTAGTGGCCAACCCCACTTGAATGCCAGACTTGCTGGCCCCATTGTTCTTGACTTCTAACCAGAACTACCGAGCGCCTCAGGGGTAAACTAAGCGGCGTAGGCAGGACAAACATTAGGGGTTTGGCCACTTGTAATTTCTCAGTAATAATTATCGGGTCACCACTCACCAGTTGGACAATATATTAACGTTTTCTTTCTTCTTTTGTTCTATAGGCGCTATGAAATTGACATAGATGGCAGCATGGATTGGACATAAACTGATTTCACGTCTCGCTCGACTTAGATATGTGTATAAACAATGTGAGAGTGAGGACAATTTGATCATTGTACATATTGCGGCATCATCATTTAGCATTGAGTTATTTTCAATTATTAGCACTTTGATGAACTCACGGATAATATCATGTCAATTGATTCGCACAAAATTAATCTGGGAGTTAGAAGCTACGTGGTGGGTAAAAAGCATTATAGTGTGTTGGCTCAAGTCCTGGAGATGTGCATGGATGATAAGAAAAGGCACTTGGAGTTGCGAAATGAACTTGGTATCAATTTTGTGGTTTTAGGGCAGTGATAAAAGATGTCAACTCCTTTTTAAATTTTATCACAAATGGATAATTTTTCAGAAGCCCAAACACTAAAATTACTCTTATTCAAAATATGGTATTTCTATTTTTTACATTTTGCCTATGTTTTACTATTACTTGGAGAATTCCTAAAAATAGGAGCTAACTTCCGACATTAAAAAGGAAGAAAATGATAAAACAAATTCGAATTGAAGTTTTTCATGCGGAATTGATTTTTTGACCTCCAAAAATTACAACAATCAAGATTATCATACAAAACCTTTCCTTTAAGAGTTGTGAAAATGGAAACTAATTATATCACCTTTTAGGTGTCTTCTTATTAGTCATATCTAATCGTATTTCAGAAATAATTTCACTTTTGAATTCCATCTTTTTTCACCAGTCATTGATCAATTGATGATCTGCTTCAAACGTTCTCACATATCATTTTTTTTTCTTTTATTCCTTTTTTTGTCTTCCTATTCTTATTTGGTTAAAGGGTCAAATAGGTACATGAACTAACTTAAAATGTTCAATTAGTTCCTTATATAAGAGGTTCTGTTTGGCCCACGCCAATTGGGGCGGTTTGCAGTTGAATTTTTTGATGAATTTTTTTGAGTATTTTCTTCATTAAATCTAGTTTACCCATACCAAATTTCAGCTAAAAATTCGACCGGGAAGACAGTCAAATGATTTTTTGAAGATAACTGCGCAGTTAAACAACGCAGTACATTTCGGAAAATCATTTGACTGCCTTCCCGATTTAATTTTTAGCTCAAATTTGATATGAGTAAACTAGACTTAATGAAGAAGATGCTAAAAAAAATTCATCAAAAAATTCTACCGGGAACCGCCCCAATTGGCGACGGCCAGGCAGAACCTCCTATATAAGGGGCTAATTGAAAACTTTAAGTTAGTTCATGCATCTATTTGACCCTTTAGCCTTCTTATTTTTATTTCTTTGCCATGTTTATGTTTACCATTTTCTCATTCTTTTTTTCGGGACCTGTTTATTATTTCATTTCCATTTTTATGTATGTTTTTTTATATAAAAGTTCTCACCCTACTATTTTTTATTTTACTTTCTTCTTTCTTCAACTTATTGATTTCATTTTCCTTTTCTTACCTTGATTCCACCATTAATATATATTTTTCTTTTCTGGGGCAAAGGAAAAATAAACAAGTAGCCGAGATAGAGTTATAAAAAGAGGCTACAACGAATAGGAATACTTAAATGCAAAGAAAATAAAAATGGAGGAGAATAGAAAAAGGAAAAACTACTTAAGAAATTTCTATAAAAACAATCTAATGGTAAACGGATAAAGGAATACATAAACAAGGTAAATAAATGAAAAGTAAAAAATGAATAAAAGTATTGTGACGATAAAGAGAAAAGAGAGAAAACTTTTAGAAAGATAAAAGAAAAATTACATGTGGGACTATTTTTAGAAGATTTGTAGAAAGTGAGATTTATGGTTTAATGATTTCCAAATAAAAGAAAATAGGTCATTAATCGATCAGAGTTCAATGAAAAATTAAAGGGTGCAAATGTGAAATTATTCCTAAATTACTGAGACTTTATAAGAAAACCGATTAAAAATGAGATTTTTAGTTTCCATTTTCTCTGAAGTATTTGAAGGGTAGATAAAACAAGACTATGAGCATTGAAGGGCTTCTAGGAATGTACCGTCAACCAGAGAAGTTTGTTGACCTTCAAAAGACATGAATATTAAAAAATTATACAAATTGGATGAGGTACACAAAGTCTGAAATAATTAAAAGGGATGACAGACAAGTCCACAGACAACTCATCTCCGGACAGACAACTTATATGTGAGGGACAACAAGTGTACAAAATTTGTGTACAAATTTTGTGTACACCTAGCTCCACCCTTCTTATGATAAGCAAATAAACATGGCAGAAAAAATAAACAAGTGTACAATTTTTTTTTTCTTTTGCAAATAAACATGGCAGATTGTGCCGACACCAATTCAGGAAGGTACACACTTGCATCCAAATATAACTTGATAATGAAACACACCAGAAGCGTCTTGCCACTTAAACTAGGGTCAAATGCATAAATGATACCATAACTATTGTTATTGTTGCAGTTTGTTATCTTAACTCTTAAATGAATCAAATCAGTACCATAACTATACACAAATGTTTCAAACTTGAGATTTTATTCAAATTTGCGGCAAAGAAATTCCTCATGACGATCAAAATTTCATGTGTAGAGTCACCCTACAGTGATCATATGGAAAAAATAATGTGAAGTAGATAGACTTTACGCATAGAATTCCGGCCACCTCGTGTAATTTTTTGACCGCAAATTTGTACAAAATCTTAATTTGAAATATTTATGCATAATTAAGGTATTATTTTGATTCATTTAGGAGTTAACATATCAAACCACAACAATCTCAATAGTTAAGTACCATTTATGTATTTGACCCTTAAACTACTAATCGATAAAAAGAAGAAGGTAGACGGGGAGTAATATGCACTTCCAATGGAGTCGCTCTAGGCAGGGTGGTGGCTTGCCCCTCCCCCATGTCCACCGGAACATTCCCCGGAGTTGTGACGTCAAACCCCTGAAGCAAACGGGCAATGGTGAGATGTGTCACTTTCTTCGCGTACGACATTCCGGGACACGACCGTCTCCCGATCCCGAACGGAATGAACCCAAAATGCCTACCCGGAGCAGCCTCTCGATCATCCAGACTTCCCGCCCCGAGGAATCTCTCCGGCGAGAACTTCTCCGGCTCCGGCCAAACCCGCGGGTCCCGGTGTATCTTCCAGGCGTTGGCGTACAGAACGGTGCCCTTCGCGACCGTGTACCCACCGACGGTACAATCTTCTATGGCTCTGTGGGGAACTAATAGAGGCGCGGCCGGGTATAAGCGCATGGCTTCTTTGACGGCGGCTTGGAGGTACCCCATTTCTCCGATGTCGGATTCGTCGGCCCATCTTTCATTGCCGCCGATTATGGTGTCTATCTCTTCTCGGGCTTTCTTCATTGCCAGCGGGTTGTTCAATAGTAAGGATAAAACCCATTCCAAATTCAGGCCCAATGTGTCCGCAGCATCTTCTAACATACTCTGTACAGAAATTGAACAGAGCATCCATGTACCATAAACTTTAGTCTTTAGTTTTCAAGTTCATTACTCTCCAACTTTAATGATGTGTGACCAATTTCACATTTGGTTCACAGGTGAATGTATGAAAGCAGATTAAGTAGTTAAAGCATGGAAGCATAAGAATATTTAAATCAAAGCAAACAAGCATGATTAGAGCCCTTAAACCATAAAAATATCGAGGTATAGACATATGATCAAATAATAATGTGAATCAATCATATCTCTTATAGTTACGATATTATCACTTTTAGATAGGGTACCATAAATGTGCACCTTTGACAAATGACAATCACTATTTTAGACCTATCAGTCAATCAATAGCTTTTTATATTATATGATGACTTTAGATTTCATGTGCTTAAATTGCATAATAATCAAAGTAAGGTCAAAACTATTGAATTCGTCAATTTTACAGAACAAGACTATTTTGGTTATTTCTCTTATAGTCTTATACCTTTTCCTTACATTTTAAATTTTAAATAGATTATTTTTAAATACTTTTTCATAATTCAATAGTTTTAACTCATTCGTCAATTTTACCAGATACAATCAGATTTAGTGTTAGTCAAAGAACTCTAAAACTTACAACCTTTCATTTTATTCTCTCTAGATTTCCTCTCTAGCTTTACATATATTTTGACTCTTTGATCATTCCTTGAAACCTCTTTATATTTTCTCTCTCTAGAAACCTCTAATATAGAATCTTTGAAGAATCAGATCCAAACACCCTCTAAATAAATGCAAATCAATGAATTTCTTTCCCTGACTTTTCACTTAATTCTCTTTAGAATAAGATTAGGTTTTAGATGAGCTATCAAGCTCTTTGTCAATATCAAGGATTAGGCAAATTAGAGATATTTATTAATTTAACTTTGACATCTATTAATTATTTTAATTTATTAGTAATCAGTGATATTATGTCTCATGTTACATGTATATTATTCATATCTTATGTTTTCATTTTCGTACTAATTAAGTCTAATGTATGACCAACATTTAGATAAAAATATGAGGAACCGGTCCATCTCGATGGTTATCGATTCACTCTCATACGAGAAGTCTCAAGTTCGAAACTCCATTTAGAATGTTTAACACATTTAGGGGGTGTTTGAAACTGATTCTGCTTCTGCTTCTTTTTTAAAGCAGAAGAATAATCATAATCGGTTTTCAGAAGCCGATCTCCTCCCGTTTCTAAAAAATAAATTAGAGCACTGAAAGTACTATTGCATTTTTACTCAAACGGTCCAAACACCCCTTAATTTGTAGGTTGACTTCGGAAGAATATAATTAATGTCTTGTGTTTTCCTAGTACAGATAAAACATACGGATACAACTTCAATATTCAACATGACGTCCACAAGAAACTTTTTAAAATTCATATGGAAAACGGAGTAACATACCAGCGATGCTGCCTTCATGATGGTTTCCCGTGAATAAGAATGGCCGCCGGACTCGAATTTCTGGTCAATCACAGAAAGCATGACGTCAATGAAATCCCGATCATCCTCTTCCCCGCCGGATCTCCTCCTCTGTTTATGATCTTCTATCCAGTTCTCCAGGATATCATCCATAGCCTTAGAGACTCGTTTCATGGACGCAATTTGGCCGCCGAAATCCAACCACCTGACCAACCCCGTCGGGAAAAATGAATCTCCGGGAGCCAGCTCCCCGACGAGAAACATAATTTCCTTGAACACTTTAGTCATACATCGGGCCTCCTCCTCGGCGGCGTCTCCGGCGGCGGCGGCGGCGGCCTTGTTTGGGTTGTACTTGTATCGTCTCCCGCTGATGAGTTTGACGATTAAATTCAACGTCAAGTGCCCGAACCATTCACTCATGTTAACTGGTTTTGATGTCCCCGCTGTTGCTACGGCATTGTAGAGTTCTTTGAGGTTGGTGTCTAATTCGGACATCCAAACAGGCTTTAGTTTTTCGAGAGTGTTGTTTGAGAGCAATTCTACCACCACCAGCTTCCGCATACTCCGCCAGAATGGGCCTTGAAGTGCGAAAGGCAATACTGCGTACTCGTATCCCATGTACTTGCCTGCCCCCACAATTAGAGCATCAACAAGACCACCTTTGATTACTTTGCTCATCATATTTTGGATGTTTGGAAAATGGCGTTTCAGTCAAAGGATAGCGGTTTGACAACTTTTAGCGATATTTCAAAAATTAAAACCCTGTCAGATAAATAGTTGTTCGGCTCTAAGGGTTTTGGCCGAAATCGCTAAAATGGAAACGCTGCAAATATAAGAGTTTTGAATTATCGTTTTGAAAATGACATTTTCTAATAATTATATGGCCAAAAAGCTAAATTTCCAAACGTCATCTAACAGACCGTCTAATGAAATTGGAGACCCTGATTACGAATGACAAATTGAAGCCTCCTAAAACAAGAAAGTATACAAAATTTAACAATAAAATACAAATAGACTAAATAATTTAGAGAAATAAAAGTTTTATAATGGGTCTGTTTATATTTCAGTGGGTGGGGGGCATAACGCTGCCTCTAGAAGCATTTAATTTCCAGTTGGAAAACAAATGGCTTTTGGTACAAAAAGCTGTTATGGACACATCCCATGTTTAAAGTACACAAATGAGACAATCTAAGGGGTACACCCACAGATCCCCAATGTTTAAAGGATTTTTAAAGATGGTAAATCATTGAATTGTAAAAGTTACCTTTTGAAACCTGATATAATACATAACATTCAAAAAAATCAAACTATAACTACTATTACACCTCCTAGAAGACGACCATGTCTTCTGACAAGATGCCAACTTATTTCACTAGTCAAACCCGCTCATTGAATCTGTTATTCACTACTCGCTATGCCCTAATCGTCAATGACAAACACGCCTTTATTTTACCTTTTTTTGCTTAACGTTTTTCAATTAATTTTATCAAATAACATCTCTCATTCTCTTGCTCAACAAGGCTACAAGAAATAACCGACCGTGTCATTCTCTAATAATCTCTTAAATGACTATAAATGAGGATGCCGAGATGCAATTGGCACCAAACTTGTAAACATCCTCATTTAGTTGGAAAATTCTTTTTCTAGTTTGGCTGTTACGTTTGGGCCGGGGTTTTCTGCAATATTGATCGAAGAAAGACTCATTTTTTGGGAAAACATTAACACAAAATTTTAATTCTATCGTTCTTGCTTTTAAATTTTAAAAAATTGCCTTCAATGTTGTTCTAAGGAGATAGTCCGTAGAAAACAAGAGTTATCTGGGAACTTTAACATGACTTTTTAATCTATATTGTTAAAACTTGATGTTCTAACCTATAAGGTCAATTTGACTGGAGGAGTAACTCAAAACCTCATATAGTTTAACAGATTTACACATAAAGTATGATAGTTTCATCATACACGATGACTCTTTTTACATACGGAGTACTATTAGCCCCTACACCACCACTTCACTCAAAAGTTGTTTGACATCATATTATGATTTACTTATTCACCATTATATCGAGTATGTGAAGACGTTTGAGGTGGACAATTCCCCTTTTAGATTGAGATATTGTTATGTTTTTCCAAGTGAGAATTTTGTAAGTTCAACTTCTGATAACGTCTTATTTACGTATACAAATTGATCCATTTTTGTTTCACATTTTTCGTTAATGCAAGAAAAGTTATTCCACATTTGATAGTTTTGATGTAGTTCAAGCCTATTACGATGTCTTAATTAGATCAAAGTTTTCTGGTGTGGTATGATCTATTTAATTTAAGTCTAATATGATATATTCTGTTCTGAATTGGTTTGGGGTGATAGATGTCTGATTTATGTGTATTTTACAACTGTCGACGTCTGGTTTGAACTAGGCCTGGGACCGGTTCGGTTCCTAGGCAAAATATGTGGAACCGTTTGAAAATATGAAATTTTACTAACGGTTCGGTTCTTATAAATTATTTGATAGAACCGATAAGGAACCGAACCGTTCTTAACGGTTCGGTTCTTGTCATTTAACGGTTCCTAGTCTTTGAATTTTTTTTTACAAATTACAACTAAATTTTTGGCAAAAAGACATTCAACGTTGGAAATTACAATACAAATATGTTGAACCAGTTAAAGAGAATAATAATTTTAAATAGTTTGGACCTTCCGAGTTCCGACCCGCTGGAGTTTGGACCTAATGAGAGGCCTAAGAAGCCTAAGAGAACCGGTTGAAGTGAATAATAGTTTTAAATAGTTAAATAACAAAACTAAAACAATGAATGTAATATAAAAATAAGTAAGTAAATATGCATTAAAATATATATACTCCTAAGAATATGTATATAATTTTATTTATTATATATAACGGTTCCTTAACGATTCTTGGTACATATTTTTTTCAGGAACCGAGAACCGAACAGTTAATAAAAAATAGGAACCGAACCGTTAACAAATAACTAATAAATGATGGAACCGAACCGAGTCATAACGGTTCGGTCCGGTTCGGTTCTCCGGTCCTTGGTTCCAAAGTCCCAGCCCTAGTTTGAACTGATCTAGCTAAATCTGATTTGATGTGAGACTGAAATAAGTTGAAAAAACATCTTTTATACTAGTATAATATATAAATTTAATGTTAACCATGCAATTTCAATTTCATTGAACCACGGTGGAGATAATACGAAGTATCTGTTAAGACCTGGATTTCCATCTAACTTTTTAGGATGGTACCCAGATCTTAATTAACAATATCTACATAAAATGTATTGGGATCGGGAAAAGAATATTGTTGCACCATAAATATAATAATAAACCTTTAGTACGTACAAATAGTGAATAGCAGGGAAGACAAAAAGATACAGAATTTAAAAATCGAAAATCAAAAATATTACTCGGTACAACTATCGTATTTAACTTGAAAAGCGAAGATAAAGTGAAGTACTTCATATTACTTATTGAAAGTTCTCATCTACTATAAATTTAGACACAACATTTAAGGATGAAATAGTAAAGGTAATGAATAGTGTAAAAAAGTAAGAGAGAATGGAAAAATATGAAATAGAAACAAAAAGTAGAAAAAGTAAGGATAGTTGAGTATTTTTAAATGAAAATTTTATCAAAAAAAAGTGTAACAGACTTTTGAATACAAGCGAAAAATGAAAATGTAGCAAACTTTAAAATAGCGTGAGTGTATAAAATTTCAATCATAGATCTTCGATATAACAGGTATATTTAAAATTAATGTAACGGTACAAATCAAATAAAGATTGAAAGTGACAAATTAGAAAATTGAGTGATTATATACTTACCATGTAACTTTTGATTCTACTGATTTATAAACAAATTAAATTTAAAATGTTTTTATTAAAAAAATAAGGAAAAAGTTATATGAAAATAGCTAATAATCGATCATCTATAATAATTTCAATCATAAAAGTAACTTCTACCTTACTTTTTATTATTATTACACTATCCAGGATGCGAAATCAAAAGTTACATGGTTGATGTAAAAATTGGCTGATAAGCCGAAAAAGAGTGCACCGGTATTGACTTCTTAGGTCAAACTTTGTTGGGTGAAGGGAAAGATTGTACCAGCGCAATTAGGGGGGCGATCGGCAAGGAGCTTGTCGTTAGTGGAGAAAGAGTCCATGGCGGTTTCCCAGCTGCTGATGATGACTGCCCGTTGCATCCCCACCCGGATGCTGAATATGGGTCCGTACTCGTCAGCCATCGCTCCCAGTGTTCGAACTAGTGGTTGCTTCCCGGAGCTCAGCTGCCGGAGGTGCCCAAACACCGGCCATGCACCCGCCACCTCCGGCGGAGCCAATAACTTTTTCCCCAAAGAATTATTATTATGATCATATTTCATTCGGCGCCATGATGTGTAGGGTGGTATGGCCGAGAAGACAAAAACAACCCCTGCTATGCCTAATAATAACAAGGAATAATTTGAAAGCAGAAGAGGAAGATTTTCCATGCTCGCCCCGTTAGCTTCATTTATTACATAAATATGTGCCTATATATAATAGTAGTATAATGATAAATGAAAATGATGCAAAAAGTTGCATACACTAGCTCATGCATGGAATTATAAAATTTGTGGTTAATATAATATTCCACACTTCGCAATAAGATAAAACTCACTTGGTTTACAAAAAAAGCTATCACATTTCTAATTGATCATATCTTCTAGATAATGCATAATTTACAAATTTAACGTTTCACATTCATTTTCATTTCTTATTTTAGCTCATGTGTCATTTGATCCAATTATATATATATATATACACACACACACACATAAAATGCAATTACATTTACTAGATAAACTAGTTAAAGTTTTCTGTCACACACTACAAAAAAAACACGGGATTGGCAGGGATTTTGGCACGGATACGCCAAATCCGTGCCAAAAACACTTTGGCACGAGCTAGTTGGCACGAAAAATTGATAAGCCCGTGCCAAATTCCGTGCCAATCCCGCCTTTTTTTGTAGTGACATACCGTGAAAACTGCAAATGTGCAACAAAAATATCTAATTATAGTGCATCACGTTGATTAAAAATGACACTTGTCTAGCATTTTCATAGGATACCCTCTTTTTATTAGATCGAACCCTGTATATATATTGTTATATACTAGTATATCCTTCTCTATCCTATAAAATTTGTCAATTAAGTAACTTTTGTAAGTCAATGATTGCTTGATCAATGATATTTTTTAATAAGAAATTAGTTAAAATATGAAATTTACATATAAATATTACCGAGTATTTGTTAAACATAATACTAGTATCATAAAATTATAGAATTCATAATTTTTATATAAATTCAATATAGCTAATATCAGTGTTCAAAGTTTGTCATCATTATCAACACGGCTGATCCTACATAAACTTTGGCCTGGGTCGTGCTTCATAAAAGGCCCATATATGTAGTATTTGTTTGTAATACAACATATTTGGAAATAAACGATTAATATATACCACAAAAATTAAATACTTCGATAAAAGATTTAGATTATAGTATCATGATAACGAATTAAGTACAACTCGTCGAACAGTTTTAGATGCAAAAGTATTAGTCAATTGGGCATTAATCTAGGTATTCAATAAATTCCATCTATGTGTTAACATAGGTAATCCAGCTTTCTTAGACATGGTTTAATGGTTGATCATAAAAAATTCTTTGTAGATTCAATTTTCATGAATTTCTTTTTTGCACTTGCTATTGTCACGAGTATAATTAATAAGATCTTATACACGCGCCATGCACGAATTAGAAAAGCATCCATCCTTTTCAAATAAAACACCACTTTGGTTGCAGATTTTGTTTCCTATACTAAAGGATACTTCAAATAATGAAGAACTTTGTACTTTCTGTTTTTTGTACAAATTTCAAAACATATAGTTGATTATTTGTGAATTGAATTTTCCCCAATTACTAATCTTGATAACTTTAAATAAAATTTAAATTTGAATTTTCAAATATAATAAATTCACCAAGGCATGCACAACCCTACTTGACGACTATGTTAAACAAGCAAGAATCAACTTGCTTTTAATTTTTAAGTAGCATTTTTGTATACAAATAGTTCAAATCCCAACCAATAATACAAGAACTAGTCAATAATTATAGCAATTAGAAAATATAAATTAATAAGTTAGTTCATTTGATCATACACAAATCTATAATCCATCCAATTAGCAAATAAATATACAAACTAGAAAATACTTTGGAAATAATAACATAAGCAAATTCAGGAGTTCAAGTACTTTTCACTACTTTGCATGTATAGTATTTTATTTTTTAAATACATGAGGATATATAATAATATAAATGTATCTAAATTTTTAGTCCCTTTGATTTAATTTGTTTTAGGGCATGAGGCCCATGCCTCATCAGCCTAAAGAGGGCATGATATGATCGGGATTATCAATAAGTCCATTCGGGATTATTAATAAGTTCAGAATTGTTTATATAAATAAATGGAGTTCACAGGATTCGGAATGCTCCACGCGAGCCTAAATTGTTTATGTATGTATAGGTTGGAATGCGTGACACTGCTCATGATAATGTCGACCCCGAAATCCGAATACTACACCACATATTGTAGCGTTTACAGATTTATAATTATTAATTTATTCATTAGTGATATGGTAAAGGTTTGGCGTTTGTAGGCTTATAATTGTTAATTCATTCATTCTATTATTATTATAACTAATTTTGTCTTTATCCTTAGTTTTGTTATTTTGTGTTATGATGACAAAGTTATGAAAGCAATAGGACACTAGGGGTATATCCGTATATGTCACTACGTATTACTACGTAATAATATTATTCCGTCCTATTTAATGTATCTTGTTTGATTTAACATGATTATTATTGTACCGAGTAATTGAAAAAATAAAAGTTGTGGTGGGATTTGAATATAAGAATGTAAAATATTGTGAACCACATGTTTCATTCTAAAAAAGAAATATAACACCCTCTACCGGGGGCAGAGGTATATTGTAGGTTAAGCGGGCCATGCCCCCGGCACGTACATACCCAGCGGATAGGTACATATTCGCTGAAATCGATTAATACTTAATTCCCTTTTCCTGTCTCGATCTTATGCTATTGACATTTATTTGAAGTGCGAGGAAATACACCTCACATGCACTATCCGCTCTGTCTCGACCTATTATCCTGCCTAATCGTTGATGTTGGTTAGCGGTGTGTAGGGGCATTTCGTTACTATCTCATTGCGAGTGTCAAGATATGGAAGTCATGTATATCATTGCACTTGATGGTTTATGGGAAAATACAAATGTAATACGTAGTATTAATTGGAGTATCACACATGTAAGCTATTCAAACGACAAATGATTATTTTTAAAGAAGTATGTACTACGTACAAAGTAACGCCAATAACTAAACTATAAGAGAATCATAAATATACAAGGACCAAATATATGATCAAAGAATAAAGATAAGGGGTAACACAGAAATTGAGAATGAATTCATTAAAAGGGGAAAGGGGGAAAGCACAATTTTTGTTGCTACTCTCACGATCAAGAGACTACTAAAGATTGGACTTCATTTCATTTTTTTTATTGGTACAAGAGCAAGCCGCAGTCAAATAATGAGAAACAACCAATGATTTCATTTATTAACCCTTCCTTTCATTCGAATTGAAGAACAACAAGTACTTGAATAATAACTAACTTCGACATAATTTAAGCAAACCAAATAAGCAGAGAGTGGGATATTATTTAGAATGATTTGACGGCTTAAACTACTTATTCATAAAAGGAAGATGGTAGTCGAGGAGTAATATACACTTGCAGTGGAGTTTTTCTAATGAGAGTGATGGATATCCCTTCCAACATGTCCACTGGCATATTCCCCGGAGTTGTGATCATAAACCCTTGGATCAAACGAGCAATGGTGAGATGTGTCACTTTCAAAGCGTAGGAAGTTCCGGGACAGGATCGCCTCCCGATCCCAAACGGAATGAACCCAAAATGCCTGCCCGGATCAGTCTCTCTTTCATCACACCCCAGGAATCTCTCCGGCAAGAACTTTTCCGGCTCCGGCCACACCCGCGGGTCCCGTTGTAACTTCCATGCATTGGGGTACAAGATGGTACCCTTGGTGACAGTATACCCGCCTATGGTGCATTCTGCGGTGGCTCTGTGCGGGGATAGAAGAGGCGATGGTGGGTATAGCCGCATGATTTCTTTGACGGTAGCTTTGAAGTACACCATTTGTTCAATGTCAGATTCTTGTACCCATCTTTCATTACTGTTGATTACTGTGTCTATCTCCTCTCGGACTTTCTTCATTGCAATTGGGTTGTTTAGTAGCATGGACAAAAGCCATTCCAAATTCAGACCCAACGTGTCTGCTCCGTCTACTAGCACACTCTGTACAGGCAGACATCAATCACCATTGGTGGCTGGCAGTTGTAGAGGAATAACAAAAATTCTAGAGGTATAGTTTGGGTTACACCCTAGGTAAAGCACTCTTAATTTTTTTATCCTTCCCTCCCTCCAAATTGAAGCTTTTTTTTTTTAGTTTAGGGGGAATTGAGAATTACGGATAGGTACGTGGTCTATTTGGCGACCCTTTAGCCTTTAAATTTTGGTGGTATTGAAGTTGTGTGGTTGTGTGCTATTTAATTTATAGATTTGTCGTGGAACATTTCATTAACTAATTCAAAATTTTGTTCAAATTTTTATTTAAATTTTTACTATATAATGATGAATTTGATATTTATTTAGTTTGTTGACAATTTTATTATTCACTAGCTACTTTGGTAGCACATCAATATTTTATATATAGGAATAGTATTGATTACCTGGACCTATCTAGACCGTGCCCACCTCGAGGTCAAAAAGTCAAAGAGATGAACCTAACCTAATATACAAGTTTTTTGTAATAATCTTAAGTAATGTGTTCGAAAAGGTTTAAGGTGTGCTGAGTCGGCACATTCAAGCCCTAAGACTTTGAATTCTAGGCATGTTTAAGCGAAGCCTAGTATAGGCGTGAAAAGACATTTTAATTTTTCCTTTTACTTTACTTTTTCTGGGTCTTTTTTACACATTTGTTTTTGGAACATTCTTCTAAACGTACTATAGTATCTGCTTTTGTTAATGCAGACATTCTTGATTGGGATAAAACTCGAACCTGCGACCTCTTCTTTAGGAGATCAGCACTAATGCCATCAGACCACAAGGTACTTGGTGGTCTTTTTTACAAATATAAATTCAATACCAATATTCAATCATCCCATTATATTGTCTCATCTTCCTTTTGTATCTATCGTATTAAGTTTGTGTCATACAACATTTGATAATATTTATGAGTTTTGATTTATTGTTATTTTCTTCACATTTTAATAATTTAATACTAATTACACAACTTTACTTTTCCTTAATACTTACACCACTCTATACGGATAAAGGTAGTATCATACAAGAACCTCTTACTTTTCTAATTTCCAACAAAATATAGATTCCTAAAATTGTAAATCTTTCAAATATAGATATACCTATTACACAAAAACTAGAATTAGATAAAA